TGGTGGGAAACTCTGAGAGTTCTACAAAATAAAAAGAACCTTGAACAAAAAAGACTACCTTATTTTGCAGCACCATTTCCCCCAGTTTCTTCCAACAACAGGCCAATAATCGTGACTCCATACCAAGCAAAACTGGAGAAGAAGCAGTCGGCTAGTAACCTGTCAATATTCAAGTGGCCAAGCATTGATGGCCATTGTACCATCAAACCAAACTAGTTGGAGGAAGCATAGAGTGAAATTTCTTAAAATTACCTCAACAACCAGCCAAATGTGAAAGGCTGTAAATGGGTGAGTTTTTGCTGAAAACAGAATTTAAAAGACAAAATTGTTTTTTCAGATTAGAAATCTTATTTCAAACCCTTACTGCCCTAAATATTCATTTTTTTTCCAATTCATGAGTTTGATAGGTTTGCATTTAAAAAAACAAAATAAAAAAAAAAACAAAACAAATTCTGACCTCCAGCCTTTCAGCAGTGGTGTAAATAAACTATTCAAAAACTGAAGCTCAAATTTGTTATGGACATTCTGCACCTCACAACCCGGCACATTATTTCTTACATATTTGTAATAAAAATAATTCAAAAGACAAAAAAAGGGGTTCAGTGAGTTGAATTAGTGGAGGTCTAGCAGACAGCTGTTGGCTACAGCTGCCTGTGTCCGTACATCTGTCAGTCCTCCTAACTTTAACTGTTACTGGTATCCAAATTAATATATATAAAAATAAATTTACCCAAAGAACAGCTGATGTTTAGTTGGGCATGGTAATATAAAATAGAAACATAAACTAATCTAACTAAAGGATTAAATATGTGTTTTTTGAGGGTCATTAGTCTGTTTGCACCCACAGGAGTCACCAAATATGCAAGTTTAATGCGCTTCTCCACTGACTTCACTTTATAGACCTGGAAGCTCCGCCCATCTTTTATATACAGTCTAAAATTGAGATGTTTATCAGGGGCATGGCCTAGATTAATGCTGGATGTTTATCAAGTATTGATTTCATGAATTAAGTTTTCCTCGCTTCAGTAATGGATGCCAGACGAGGGGGAGGGGGGTCGAGCAACCTAATAAAACTTTTAAGCCTCGAGCAATTTCTGGCATAGTGTAAATCAAAAAGCCATTTTAGTCTGTGCAGCCTGCCTGAGGGAGGGTACCTTCAGCTTTCTTGATGTTCCTGTGGTGTGACAGAGGAGTACAGGAGCCAAACATGGCTGTCACTGAGCATGCTCTTAAACTATAAGGCCAAACCGTTTAATACTCGTGCTTACCTCCAGCTTGGCATCCAGATCTGCGTCTGAGGCGACCACATGCTCGTCCTCCTTCTTCCCGGTGACCTTGATGAGCGTCTGCTTGGTTTTCCAGTATTTCTGCTGGAACTTGTTTACCACAGATGAGTCTTGGCTTTGGATGAAGCGATCAAGATAGTCTCGGGAGTAACCACTGCAATGACACAAAGAATGGCGCAGTGCTGTGACTGCTCGCTCTCTTGGAAAGAACTTCATAAAATCTTTGGAGAACTTATTGATTTATGTGAAATTATGTGCACAAAGATATACTCACAAGTTTCCTCCCTCCATTTTCTTAGATTACCTGAGGGGTAAATAAAGTACTTGAATCAGTATTGATGTGGCCGTTGGTTCGAACTTTTTTACCATTGACTCCATATAATGCCTTAGTCACCTTATATTCTGTCTTATATGATAACACCTTGTATTTCTAATGCATTAGAGAATACATCTGCGCTTAACAAAATCTGCATTTTCTTCACAGCTTTGATGATAAAGCCAAACTTTTACATGTCTGCAGTGATAGTATAAGGTAAGGGTGTTGCCTTATACCAGTATTGACAATAACTAATATTTTAAAAAAATATATATATATACAGTTTGATTAAAACATAAAATCATATTCGAATAATGCATCGGTGTTAGAGTGAGGAAGGGACTTTCTCCATCGCCTTTCAATCCTATTCTGAGTGAGTGTAATAAAAAGTTGATGGTTAATATGAGTGATAACATTATTTTTTTAAATTTGTTAATTAAAAAAAATGTTGGAATGTTGTTAACTGTTATTGTTGGGCACTTTTTTTTTTTTAGGAGGACCTGACATTTACAAAAATGTACCAAACTATTATGAGAAAGTGACCGTGGATCACTTCAGGGTTTTTCAGATACTGGAGCATAGAGCCAGTGAGGTGGGCAATAAAAGAAAATAGGGTGGAATTCTGAATTTATAATTTATTCACTTATTATTTATTTATTCATAATTGCATTATCCATCTCAAACAACTTAGCTACTAAATTGCCTATTGCTAATATGTCCTCTTTATTCTTTTTATTCTTTAACATTCGTTGTACAAGAATGCAAAGTGACAATAAAAATCTATCATTGAAAGACAACCAACCAAACAACATGCCAGTTCTGTGCTGATATTTATTTCACCGAAATTTAACTTGGCTATTTTTAACTCTGAATTTGTACAAAATGACAGCCAAAAAAGAAAACCCTCCAAAAACTACTTCTTTTCAACTCAAAGCATAATCTTTAACTTTTACATGCAGTAAGTTCTTTTTCACTTTTATGCAGTGTTTCACAAATTAATTAATTTAGCTCATATTCAGCTATTAAGGTTTTACTTCTGATAATTTCCCCAATCCTAACTCTTATTTTCAGCTTCTTTGGAAAATGACTGCATGTCGTTGACTACTTAATAAACAATATTTATCACAGACCTGTGCTCTGTTCAGAGTGCACACCACATTTACACTTGACATCAGCTGTGAAAGGCTCCAACCACCAACCCTACACCCTAACTTGGAAAAAAAAGGGGGATGGATGAAGTTGTTATACTGAAGTTATTTATTTTGAAATTAACCGACGTACAAATGACATATGAAAGATACAATTATAAATTGCATTTCTCTGAAGCTTCAGTAAAAGTTGACGGAATCCTAAAAAATGGATTCAGACCCTGGACCCTGGAGAGACTCGACCTTGTTAGTGGATCATCATGACTTCTATGCTGGATAATAAGACGTGCCCGAGGACTTTGCTTATTTATATTTCTACCAGCTTTGTTTAATCATCGCCGGGAGTGGGATTTAGTTATCTGTGCCCGTTTTAAACATGGCAGAGGAGCACCACCTGTTTCCAGTGAGCGCCTCGCCTGCTGTGCATCATCACCGTGAAGAAATTAATAAATAATCACCATATCCTGCAAAGAGCGCGCGCGCGTCACGACTCGTTTAAAACAAATGGATGATGCGTTGCTGTCGTTTGCCTTCCCCGGTAGTAACAGTGTTTATAGAAAGACCCTGCAAATAATCTATACCTCTAAACAGGTAAACGTATGCTCATTTACGTCCTGATGTAAACTGAGCCGTTTATTCAGCAGATTCGCACTGTGCGGAAACCCAGCAGCTCCCCCCGCCTTATCCTTTAAATATAACCGATACATATCACAATAAAACCGAGAGCATAGCAAAATGAAACAGTTTGTTCCACACATACCTTTCCGCGTCGGTGACATGTAGAAGAGCCGCTTTATTTCCTCCCCATCGCCACACACACAGCAGCTCTGCCTGGCTGACAGGCCCTGATGTACTGTATACAGCTACTGTATGTACACACAGCTGCTTCTTCGCCACAGCTCATTGTCCGCGTGCACGAAACACCGCTGACGTCATCCAGACTTCGCCCCCTCCTCCTCCCCTCTCCCGCGCTGCATTCAGCCACTGCCCTACGTTAGTGTGCAAAGTGGGCAGATGTCTGTAGACTAGAAAATAATGACGGAGAGCAGCTGACGGAGGACACGCACACACACAGTGGACGTTTCATATTACCCCCTCTAATGTGTTCTACATTTAGAGCAGTGGGCAAAAAGGTTAGTAATGTATTAGCACAAAGGAATAACTCTATTCTTAGAAAAATTAAAGTAGAAAATTACTTAAATGTTGCAAAAAGAAGGGCAAATAACAATCTGGACACAGGAAGACTGGAAACACTGTAATTGAACATATGGGAACACACTGTTGCGCATTTTATTGTGTAGTCAGGTTGTACTTCACATGAATAAAATTCTTCCTAGTTTACAAACCCCACAAATATCTACATAGAAATTGTGGTTCGATCTGCTGCCTCACAGCAGGACAGTTCAAAGGCAGGTGGGGTTTGCATGTTTCTCCATATGCTTGCACAGAGTTCTGGTGGATTCACTCAGTACTCGGACACTTTTGCACTCAAACACCTCACCCCATCACGCAGGACTAAAAAAACCAAACAGATTAAGATGTGCAAATAATGAACAGAGCAAAACTGGAAAATAAACAGAGCTATTACAGGAGTGCTCTATGACACCTCTGGTGAGGGTAATGAACAGCGTCAATGGTGGTCATCCACCTTCTTCCTAACAGTGAAGATATTGGCTACCTACACCCAAAGCACCCAGACAGCTATATCAAATCCTGATCTTAGAGCTGTTCGGACATATGGTAGTGATGTATTCAGACTAATTCATGCACACTTTATTGTGTGCATGAATTAAATGGAAAAAGCTAAATCTGACACTCAAACACACAATAACAATGACATCTTCCTACACCAATCAGAACATTTTCTGTGGCTCCAGATTGTGGTCAGGTAAACCATCTTTCTTCATGATTGGTTGCACTTTGATTAGCAGGTGGGTGAAGTCAAAGCCACCATTGCTGTAGCTCACCAGGATGAGCTGGCATCCCATATCCCGAAAGCTCATCCTGAAAGCTATTGCAGTGTCCTGAGTCTGCCTCAGACCATCTCCTGCATGTCATTTCCCTGCTTTCCTGTCCTCTGCGCTGTACTATCAGTAAGTATTAAACAGAGAGCAAGGTTTTAAAAGGATGTAAACTTATTGCGGCTGAGTTTTTAATTTGTAATTTTTTTATTTATTTATTTTGGTGGTTTGAACATCAGAAGGCGAGCGCCATCTGGTTCCATAATATTGAAGCAAAGGCAGGCATCTCTGGAGCTGATATCTGTAAAAATGGAGCACCACTTATACCAAAACAATTTAGATGAATAAAAAGCACTAGGGGACAGGGGGAAAATATGTAAATTTGGCAAACTTTGCCTTTAAGTAAAACGCAAACACATCAATACTTCACTTGAAAAGCTTATGCAAGTAAATACTTCTACACAGAGAGCACTTTCAGCACTTTCTTAGCCACATACTAAACAGGCAAATAGAGGTTAGAGGATATTACATTTCAAGTGAAGTCTTATTCATTTGACCTTGCAGTTTTTCCCCATTTGGGCCATGCGGACAGGTGAAAATCATTTAAAACCTGAACAGACATGAACCTAACCTAAAACCTTATCCCTATAACCTAAACGCTAAACCTTATGACCTGCTGGATGCAAGGAGGATTAAAAAAAGGAACAAATGGGAATCGATCAGCTTTACCTGCATATAAACGAATGTGTTTAATATGCGTTATCTTTATTTGCTTTACATGCACACGTGTCCACTTTTCTTCTGTCTACAGTCTTTTGCAGACCTCCACCAGTCTGCTCTCAAAATAATTGCTGATGTTTACTTCTCTGTGTGCCCAAAGGATGGCAGTGCAACACAAAGCAGTGGAGCTGCACCTTTAATAGTCTTCTCTCTCCTGTTTTGGGGCCCCGAGCTTTCATCTGTTGGCTTCAATTTATTTCATCACAGTATACTGCAGCTGATCTAATAGCATGTACGTTTTGTTGTCACCTAAAGGGAATTTCTTGTCATGCTCCAAATTGATGTACCTGTTTGTCGCCTTGGACAGTATTTGTGCTGCACAGTCGCAAGCAGTGTGTGAGCAGCATACGGCTCAGTCGATTTCACCGATCAGGCACCGTGAGGTACATTTAAACAGTACGTTATGGATCTATATTTGGAAGGTGTGCTTTATGTACAGCTTAATTTGATTATCACCCAGGGAATATTGAGCCCTTTGATCATTCGACGCCCCGAGGTCACTTTGTGCACAATGGAGCCTGATTTCATCCTGGATACATCCATGTTGTGTTTGTTGGGCTATTCAGCGTCTTTCGTTAGTGTTAGAATACCATCTGATTTTGTAAAGGAATTTCATTACTGTGCCTTGGCATCCTTCCCAAGCCATACCTGAGACATCATCCCAAAGTCTTTTGATATGAGCAGATGGATAGGGGGTCTCTTAAGGGGAGGATGTAATCTCCATAAAGCCCCATGTCCTTCAACCCATCTGATTGTCTTCCTGCACTCACAATCTTATCTTCAGGTCCAAGATGGTTTTAAAGCAATTTGACTTCACTTAAATAAGACAGGAAAACAATTAAGTGATGCTGTTGGGGGGTCTAATTCAATCAGAGGAATTCCTCTCCGATATTGATCAGAGACTATTGATTTTCTCTGACATTTCCTTACTCTTAACTCTGCACTGTGCTTCATTTGAGAGATTTTCCTTTGTATTAACAAGCAGTGTCTTTCATACTCCGCTATCATCAGCTCTGCATCAACTAACGCCAGAATAGCCAACATACTGATCCCCTTATTTTTTTTTCTGGGACACAGACTAAACCAGACTTGGGACTGGCCTCATTATGAAGGTTTGCCACCCCCTGAGAGTGCCCGACCTGACCCCAAAAATTGCCCAATTGGCTTTTTCCATCTGCGCTTATGTGTGGTGATGGGGAACCATGACATTTACATTTGCACCACTCCAATATGATCCCTTGCTCTGCACGAGTTTTCGACACAGACTATAGCTCAAAACCGGTCACAGGATCAAAAGTGTCTCTTGCCTGAAGGAGCCACTGAGTCGATCCTTTCCATTTCTGCACCAAATGGTGTTTTCTCTTTCCTCCTCTCTCTCTCTCTCTCTTCTTCTATCTCTCTCTCTCTCTCACCAGTAACTTGCTGGAACACATTTAGATCCTGAGTAGAACTCCTCAGTGCCCACTCATCACTCTGCGTGGTGTTTGAAGATTACTACGCTCAGAGACATCCTCACTGGGCATCCAGGCAGCTTAGAGGCCAAAATCCATAATCCCTTACCCTTCATGGGAATTCTCCATGCACTTCAACATGCTGAAATACAGCCCCGCTGCAGCAGCCACTCATGGCCGAGGAACTACTGCAGCCGGAGGCCCAGATAGATGGATGACATGTCTCAATGAATGTGGGAGAAGTGGAGGAAGTTAGATTTAAAAATAAGTTATATACCACAGATAGTTCCTTCTCTGAAACACGCCGAGTAAAGGGATCTTTTTTGCAAGGTGTTTTATTTCCAAGATATGCATGCACACAACTTAAGTTGGTCCACATACGCCGCTAACTGTTTTATGCATACCATACCAGCCCAGAAGACATTATTTACTGAAAATATAGGTGCCGTTCTGGGACTCAGCAGTTCCACGGCTTTTCTAGCAGTCGTCTCAATAAAGAATTTCCTCTGAGGCTTTGGTGCCTTATTAAAAAGCGTAAATAAGTGTAGTTCCTTGATTCGGTAATCTGCATGAGCGGGTAATATGTGAAGTTCAGCTGTTGTAGCTGAAGGACCAGTGGGGTTTTCCTCCTCTAGGCTACACGCTAATGCTTTGTTAGTCTGCTGTGCTTAAACCTGTTTATTAGCTTGGGGACTTTGTCTTGCAGCAAACGAGAACAATAAAAGTAATCTCACATTCACATTTGGTATTTTCTCTTTATGAAAGTGTTTCTTTGCTCTGAACCTTTTTCCATTTTCCTTTCTCACCACATAGGTAAAAATATGAGGGAGACGAACAGAGCTGTTCCAGCGTTTTTAAAAATTTTTTATTTAACAAGGCAGGACCAAACCACCAGAAAATTGGTTGAACTCAGTTGTAATGAGTTTAATTGCGGACAGAGCTTGTGCTTCCATGAAAATGAATGACCAACATAATAGTGGCTGCGTTGGAGGACACGATTCAACTACGAGGTCAAGAAGTTAACAAAATGCAGTCTGATTATATCTGTAAATATGTTTTTAATATGTTTTCATACTCTACCGAAATTAGTATTGTTGGTTTTGAATCCTAATGGATAAACTAAGCATAATGAGATGTTTCATTTTAGTTTAATATTTTATGGTTAAATTAGTATTTTTCTACTTGTTTCTTTGTACCCTTACTTTAATACAGGCTCCACAGCTCTAACTAGCTGTGGAGTCGTACTGTGTACGGTGGCAACGAGCCAGAGAGTCCTGTGAGTTAAACCTGTGACCTGCAAAGTGGTCTCTTGTGGATTATTTTAACTGCACGAGGGACGCATGTAAGTGCAAGCTAGTGCTTTCTGCTGTAACATCATATATATATTGTTTTGTGCTTTTAAATGAGCTTTTAGTGCATATTAATTGATAGACTGAGGTGGACAACACTGTTTTCCCAGACAACAGGGATGTGAACACCACCTTCTATACCCTTCATTTTGTTAAGGTTTAAAGTTAGAGGCGTGGCTGCGTTGAGTGACAGGTGCGCCAGGAGCAAACCCCTTAGGTGTCTGTTAGGTCTTACCTCCATTAATTACACTTGCGGAATTAAACCTGTGCGCTGCCTTTGGAGCATTCTTCGTTGAATTACCTGACAAATAATACGGCCTGCAGCACTGATGGTTCAAGAGGTCTTTGCTTTAGCTTTGGTGAGTAAAACGTTACTGTTTTTTTAGTGTGTTAGCTTTAATTAGCTAATATGTGTGCTTTGCCCCTATACAGTCTATGGATGGAGCTGTTAATCACCTGATAACTCAGCACTAA